CCTGCAAGTACAACTAGGTAACTACAACTAGGTAAGTACACACCCACACCTGAACGTTTGCGAACGCGCCAGTTCTTAATGTCGACAAAAACGTTCTGGAATATGAGTGTGAAGCTCAATTATCCAGTATGCATAGACAAAAACTGAAACAAACCTGGGTTGAGATAGGAGCGAGAACATGCAGAATACTTGGTAGTGGTGACGGTACCTTGTTGAGGAAGGTGGCTGCGCGAGGTGGCGGGAAGCTGGCAATATCTTGAGAGTACCTCGGGTGTACTGTCACAGTGATGAGGCAACAGTACACAACCACCATCTGTTGACCCTCCTGCACGAAGGAGGGAGGGAGGGAGGGGGAGGGCCGAGGTAGGAGAGCGACAGGTGTCCGCCGCCTCTCACGGGTAACTCCACACCCAGCTATATTACGGGCGTTCCTGCACCCAGGCACCTCCACCTTTGACAGGGTCTTGCAAGCACCAACCGTGCACTATAATTCACCACTACAATCCTCATCATGCATAGGTTCCATTACAATCATCTTCAGATGCTCCTACATGCAATTCATACAATTACATATAATATATCCGGGGATTACAAATATGTGGCTTTATCTTAGCGTTATAAAATGATGCGTCACACCAAGAGAAGAGCTCTGAAAGAGGACACTCGAGCAATTGGTTACACCGAGAGCCTCACACGAGACCAACGATCATTCACATCGTACAGCCTCGCTTCTTGTGTGAAACACACTAATTAGTGTTTGATCACAACCGCACAACACACATGCCACCAGGAACACCAATACGACACTTCAAGTTTCTCATCAAAACCTCAGAGTACAGTATAATATTCTTGTAATATTGCTAACATTTTTTTGTCAATGTTAAAAATCTTCTGTCGCCAATTAAAATTACTTAAGAGAGACTAGTTATAATAAAGAAAGCACATTGACCTACCTTGATGACGAAGAGCATCCTGTGTGTATATAATTGTACATTATGTTAGCCTTATCAGTACACACACTTCACTACATGGACAAGTGCAATAAATAATACAATACAAATCATTAATCAATGATTCAACATTCAGGAAATCATTCATGTTGGTTTAAATACCTGAATAATTATTATATATATATATATATATATATATATATATATATATATATATATATATATATATATATATATATATATATATATATATATATATATATATATGAGCATAACCATAGTAAGGACATTTACTGGGATGGTCTCAGCTGAGTGCATGGAGAGGGATGACACTGGTCAACATTGGCGTATACAACAACATGAAGATTTATGATAGAGTGCCAAGTGGCGGGTGATGGTCACGAGCGTGTGAACAATGACTGCAAGAGTGAGCGCGGGTTGAAGAGTGAGCGCGGGTTGAAGAGTGAGCTGAGGGCTACACACACACACTCGCGGTCATCACTCGGGTTACACAAGCCACACCAAGAAATGTACAGTAATATCGTCTCTTTACAGCTCAAGTACTGGCAGGAGGAAGGGAGGGGGGCAAAACCAAAGTGAGAAACAAAACAAAAACACTGAAAGAATGATAAACACCAACATTGGCAAAAGACAAACATGTGGTAATAAACACCGCAGCTGGCGAAACCTGCTGCCCTCGACTTCTCGTAAGGCTTATGCACTTTTTCTGGAGGAGAAGGGGGGGGGGGAGGGGAGGTGTTAGGAGGAGGGGGGTATCAAGATCCACTTGAAGGAGTGTTCATACGAGGCTCCACCTGGTCTCCGGGGCGCCCACGACTGCTGCAGCTGGTTCACGAAGAGCCAAGAGAGGGGGAGATGGCCTGTCACGTGCTAACACGGCGGCGTACTCAACCCACAGGTCGACACAGCTCGGGGCAAGGGGGCGGTCAGCCGGGAAAAAGGGGGATGAGGCTCGGGCCAAGAGGGGGAGGGACGAAGGTCGGGACACTAGGAAGGGGGGGGGACGAGGTTCGGGACACTAGGGGGGGGGGGGACGAGGTTCGGGACACTAGGGGGGGGCGAGGTTCGGGACAGTAGGGGGGGGGGACGAGGTTCGGGACAGTAGGGGGGGGGGGACGAGGTTCGGGACAGTAGGGGGGGGGACGAGGTTCGGGACACTGGGGGGGGGGACGAGGTTCGGGACACTGGGGGGGGGACGAGGTTCGGGACACTAGGGGGGGACGAGGTTCGGGACACTAGGGGGGGGCGAGGTTCGGGACACTAGGGGGGGGGACGAGGTTCGGGACAAGAAGTGGATGGTGAGATCAAAAAGCACACGTGACTAAGGATATACGGATGTAGTTCAATGTCAAACACAATCGAAAATGACATTTACCAGACTGCACGAGCCATCGCATGACCTCATCTGTCATATCTCAAAAATAAGAAACGATTACAAAGCTAACGGTAAAAATTCGCTCTTAACAACTATGGTAAAAAAATTAATGAATCTAAATGGTCCATGGCAGCTGGCAAGCATGACGTAATGTTATCAACAGAGTATTAGGACGCCTCGAACACACAACACGATACCAAATTTACTATAAACTATTTATACGTTCATGTATTTATCTGACCATTCATACATTAACAAGTTAAATGTTATTGGTACGATGCATATGGTATAACTTTTTATCTGGTTGCATACATTTTTAACTCCACATGTTTAGTCGTTCTCATCCTTTCAAAAACTTTTAATGTTCTGTTAACTGAATCTCTTTATCCTGGTGCTCAAGGTGACTTGCGTAACCTCAGAGTGTGAGGGTGACTTTACCGCCGCACACCAGGCTCTAAAGGTGAACGGTAACCAATCCTTAGCAAGCAACAAACACGAGGAATATTATCAATACTAATATAGAGTATCCTAGAGAAAAACAAAGTATGCGCTTGCACACTCGAGCCTCTCTCAAGAAAACGTTGTTCTCGATTTATATATAAAATATACAATTAACGTCGGTTAACAAACAAGCCAGTCACGCCTGACGTTTTAGCTGGGCCGGCTCTCACCACTATTGTGGCCGGGGAAAATTTAAACTTGAAAACGAACAAATGTCCTAAGGCAATGTATTCAAACTCAAAGGCTGCCAACACAAAAACTGCGACCAATTAATGGCTTAAATTATTTATATACTCGGAATTTAAATTAATTTACATTTTATATTGCATATAACCACCAACTACATATATCTTAGGGCAGGCATCACATGGGGGCGTAGATACGGACCAGAGGGCGAAGCCTTTGAGGGAGCAACAGGTGGGTATGTTCCGACATTTTCAAGGTCACGTGGGATGTGGGAAGGGAGTGAATGGAATAGGTACACATTATTATTAATTATTTGAAAATAGGACTGAAAACTATTACTTTACTGATAGGGAACGTTACTAATACTGCCAAACTGACATAAAAAATAGTTGTAAACGTGAGAATTTTTTGAGAGGGGGGGGAGGTGAGGCTAATTACATATCTAAGACTACTTCAATATGAACTATCCATCGAGTGAAAAAACATCTAAAAAAGGTTGGTGAAGTGTGTTAGTGTGGCGTGTAGCATGTGAGTGTGGTGTGTACATGCAGGTGAGTGAGGCAGTGTGGGTGAGGGCAGCAGGTGTCCGGCAGCGGCGTTGTGAAGGGTGGAGTCTACTGTACATCTCGCTGGTGGCGCGGTGACCTGCCGCAACACTGCCACGCGTCCCCCGCCGCTACCTGAGAAGGCGCCCGTCGACCGCTTCAGGCGCGCCCGCTTTTCTGCCACCAGGGCCAGGAGGGCAGGGGAAAGGCTGTCGGCGAGCCCCTCGTCAGACACCTCTCTGCCTCCCCCATCATCACGCCCACCCTCACCCCCGAGGGCCGCCGCTGCCCGCCCAGCTTCCAGGCTCTTGCTTCGGGTAGTGCGGGTGGGCGAGGAGAGCGCCAGCTGCCTCTTGAGTGTGTTGAGCAGCTCTTGGGAGGTCATGAGCGAGGATGACTTCACCGGTCCCGCGTGAGAGTTGTGATTGTGAGGCTGCTGCTGCTGCTGCTGCTTGGCCTGGGCAGCTGTGGACAAGCGGTAGCGCACCGTACCGTCTCTCACCGAGCCTTCTCGCAGCTTACCGTTCCGAACGGAAGTGTTCCTCATCATGGCTTCCCGCACCTCTTGAAGCGATGCATATTCTCCGTCCAGTTGCGAAGGAGACCCAAACTGACCAGAATCGTAGCCAGTCTGTTGCATTATCGACTTCTGATGCTGTAGTGGCCTTTGTTGTTGCTTTTGCCGCATGAACTGTTGTGCTTGCTGCTGTTGCAACTGCTGTTTTTGATACTGTTGTTGCTGTAACTGTTGCTGCTGTAAATGCTGTTGCTGCAAATGTTGTTGATGCAAATGTTGTTGTAACTGTTGTTGTTGTAGCTGTTGTTGTTGCAGCTGTTGCTGTTGTAACTGCTTGAGTTGAGAAAATGTTGATGGTGTATGATATCGCTCTCGCCAGACAGGGTCGCGAGCGGCTCTGATCTGCTCGGCGCGGATCTGCTCGGCTCGGATCTGCTCGGCACGGAGCTGATCGGCACGAAGCTGATCAGCACGAATCTGGTCGGCACGGTACTGTCTGAGGTCCACATACTCTTGCTGCTGCTGCTGCTGCCGCTCCATGGCCTCGTAGTTGCGGAGCTCGACATAGTCTGTGAGGTGCGGCGTGGCGGTGCCGGGCGTGGTGTAGGTGGCCACGCTCGCCTGGGTGCGGACTGGTGGCTGCTGGTGGCGGTGTTGGAGGTGAGCTTGCATGTCGTGTATGGTCGTGTGTGTGTTGGGTGAGGGGTGAGGCTGGGGTGGCAGGGCAGCTAACGGGGATCTGGCAGGGGATTGAGAGTAGGAAGGCGGGCTGGGGCGCGGAGGCGAGGGGGGCGCCAGACGTATGGAGGAGCGCCGCCCCCTCCGCTCCGACACAGTGTAGGTGCGTGGGAGGGGACCGGGCACAGGGTCAGCCTCGTGGCTCTGCTGCCAGGAGCGGCTCTTACCCATGGCGGCGGTCGGGTGTGCCTGGACGGCCTCCTGCCGGGTGATGTGGTGGTGTCGTGGGCGGCCCATGGCGGCGTCGGCCGAGTGCCCCAGGATGGTCGTCTGCTGCTGCTGCCACGACCGACTCTTGGCCAGCTGGCGAGCGCGCTCACTCTGCGGCGTGCTGTGTCCCACACTGTACTGCTGCCAGGAGCGGGCCTTCCAGAGGGGCGGCTGCGGGCTGCGGGCCCCACCAGACACTCTCCCTTCCTCGTAAGACATGCTTCTGGGGCCGGACGCCTGCTGTGCCTCGCCGTTGTAGCGCACCTGCGCAGGGTCCTGAGGGGGCACCATGCGCGTCCATGGGTCACCAGGCGACTGTCTGCTGGGCATCCTCACCGGTGACCGGCTCGGTGCCCGCGCCGGCGACCCGTCTGGACCCCTGCTGGGAGACCGGCTGCTCCTGCGGCTGTCTCTCCTCCGGCTGTCTGACCGGCTGGGCGATCGGCTCGGAGGCCGGCTGGGAGACCTGTTCGGTGACCGACGGGATTTTCGCGAAGGAGAGCGGTTGACAGAGGCTTTTGGAGGCGGGACAGGACTGGAGGTGCTGAGAGAAATGCTGGGGACGGTGCCCCTGACACTGCCCCGGGCAGCCCGGCTACTGTCCGTGGACTCCTGAGAGGCCTTGGTGAGGAGCCCCTGGCGCCGAGGACTGGGCCGGCGGGACCTTCGGCCGCTGCTCTTCACGCTCAGCCGGGACCCGTGTTGCCGGCTGGAGCTGCCTTGCTCGCTGCTGCTGTTGTCGCCGCTGTCCCGCTGCGGCGACGGCAGCTCCACGTTCTCGTACCCGTCGGCGTCGGTCTGGGTGGACAGTCGGGGCGACTGGTCGACAGGGTGGTCGTAGACACTGCTGGGGGTGGAGTCACCACGGTCGCTACCCGCCCGGCTTCCCGCTCGGCTTCCCGCCCGGCTACCTGCACGGCTGCTGGCAGGCAGGCTGGCGGGGCCGCCTGCCTGGGCACGCTCGCGAGAGGAGCGGCTACTGGTGCCGGTACGACTGCCGGTGCGGCTGCCACTGCCCGCTCGGCTACTGTTATTCGTACCCCCTCGACTCGAACCAGAGTCGGTGGCACAGTCGAGCAGCCTGTCGCCACTCCAGCTCTGACTCTTCTCGATGATCTGCGTCTCCTCGGCCCGCCCCTGCAGCCCCGCCCCGCCGCGCCCATCCAGGATGGACGGGGAGCTGTTGATGCTGAAGGAGTCTGGGGTGTGGTCGTGCGTGTACTTCCACGAGGACGACCTCTCTACACCTGCCTTCTGTGGCGCCCCTCCAGACTGCTGTTGCTGTTGGTGGAATATCTCTCTTGGGGAGGCCCCGCCGGTGGACGGGGTGCTCACGGCCACCGTCTCCCTGCGGCGGCCGGTGGTGCCGCGGGCGGCCACCACAGGGTTGGGCGCCACCCCCGCTTCCCCCAGCTCGGGGGCAGCAGGCGCGGGCTGCTTGGTGCTGCCGCCGGAGCCGCCCCGTAGCAGCCGACTCAACAACTTGCTTTTCTTCATTGCCCCGACCCGACCCGCTCTCGAACTTCACTTACGCTTTAATTTTGGCTCAAGTCCTTCACATGTGTGCCATCACTCACGACACTGCTTGTGGCACTCTGTATGGCACTCGCTGCGTGGCTCTTGGTGCTGGAATGGCGTGAGACGCGATGATGCGGGTGAGGTGTGGGGGCGGCCTGTGGTCTTCAGCCGCGTGGGGCCGCCCTGGAACCACACACCTGCACACACACCCCGCCTCCACCACTACCACAGCGCCTACTACCTCACGCCTAGTTTTCAAAAAATATTACAATGTCATACACTCATCTGTGGAGAGAATAAAAACCAAATGTAGCTAGTATTTATATTAGTCATGATATTACAAGTTGTTATGGTATCTACCCTGCATACACCTCCACTACACCTTTCCCGACACCCTCAACTAACACTCCAATTACCACACACCTCTATACTTACTCCACTTCCTGCCAACACGTGTTCTGCCAGCCCGTCACCCACTTCAAACACCTGGATCAACAGCGCCCGTTCAATTGGTCTAGTTACCACCTGCCGTCCACACATGTATCCCCAACACACACTTATACCCCTTCCCACCTACCCATTCCCATTAACCGGATACCCACTACTATAAGCCATCGGATACTCTTGGCAACGGGTCTTGGGTAGTGCGACCGGAAACACATGAACAAGAACATAAGCAACAAATAGAAGCAGACGGTGTTTTACAGCAAGACTGACGAATGACAAGAGCGGCCGCCGACGAAAGTGAAAGGATCTTTCCATGTATTAAGTTATCACCCTGTATTGTTCCCACCACCTGGCACCGCCACATTCTCCAGCCCACCCCTGCCTCATCTCCCAACTCCCTTCCATCACAAAGTTGATGTAAGACACACAGGACTGTTACACCATCACAAATTTACAATAACAAGTCCAACTCTTGCCACTGTCACCACTAGTGTATTAACCTAGTAGGCATCCATCAGTCTTGATGGATGTCTCGTTAGATCACACACAATAAACGGTTTATATCCTGCTGGATGGGGGTTCTGGAAGTTCTTCTACTCCCCAAATCCGACCCGAGGCCAGGCTCGACTTGTGAGCTGGTCCAACAGGCTGTTGCTTGGAACGGGCCGCAGGGCCAAATATCCACCACAGCCAGGTTGGTCCGGAACTCCTTGAAGAAAACAATCTAGTTTTCTCTTGAAGATTGTTCTCTACGGTTGTTCCGACAATATTTCTTATGCTCGCTGGGAGGGTGTTGAACAAACGCGGACCTCTGATGTTTTTACAATGTTCTCTGATTGTGCCTATGGCACCTCTGCTCTTCACTGGTTCTATTCTGCATTTCTTTTATTATCTTTCACTCCAGTATGTTGTTATTTTACTGTGTAGATTTGTGACCTGACCATCCAGTGTTTTTAATGTTTATATTATTAATAAATACCTCTCTCGTCTCCTTTCTAGTGAGTATATTTGGAGAGCTTTAAGACGATCCCAATAATTTAGGTGCTTTTCGTGTCCATGTATGCCCCATATGTTCTCTGTATTCCCTCTATTTCAGCAATCTCTCCTGCTCTGAAGGTAAAAGTGAGTATCGAGCAGTACTCAAGACGGGACAGTACAAGTGATTTAAATAATACAACCTTATCCAACCTTAATCACACCTTGTATGCCGCAAAACAATATACATTCCATTCAAACAATATTCCAACTACAACACATTACTCAACACATTTATACATTGAGCCAGTTACCATTCGATCGTGCTCGGGGCCCAGATTCACGAAGCAGTTACTCAAGCACTTACGAACGTGTACATCTTTCCTCAATCTTTGACGGCTTTGGTTACATTTATTAAACAGTTTACAAGCATGAAAACTTCCCAATCAACTATTGTTATTGTTATGAACAGCCTCCTGGTGCTTCGGAGCTCATTAACTGTTTAATAATTGTAAACAAAGCCGCCAAAGATTGAGAAAAGATGTACAGGTTCGTAAGTGCATGCGTAACTGCTTCGTGAATCTGGCCTCTGGACGCCTACGCCTGCAGTCCCATGACCACGGCTGCTGTTGCATGCAGTCAACACCCAATAATTTACTACTTACTCATTTGCATTAATTGTTCAGCAATGAAGACATTTGTCAGGGGAAGAAATAGTTGATGGCCCTAGAGTTCATTTCAAATATTGGCATTGTTGCCTCAACATAGAAGTGTAACAAATGTATTGTTTACTAGCACGCTACACACTCACTAGTGCAACCCTTACTATTAATAGCACGTTGCATTTTCGACGTATTTTACTTGAGGCCAAAAATCATCTTACTGGAAAATGGCAGCGGCTCGCGAAATTGACATACTGTCGCATTTTCTGTTTTGGGTCCTCTGGGAGGTTAAGATAAGGGCACTTTAGTACGACAGTTTCTTGACGTTAGGAAATCTTAGAAGGACGGGCTGCACTAGCTGGTATGTGCGTGCGTGCGTGCGTGTGTGTGTGCGTGTGTGCGTGTGTGCGTGTGTGTGTGTGTGTGTGTGTGTGTGTGTGTGTGTGTGTGTGTGTGTGTGTGTGTGTGTGAAAAAAAATAGTAACAGTTGAGAGGCGGGCCGAAAGAGCAGAGCTCAACCCCGCACAACTAGGTGAATACACACACACACACACACACACACACACACACACACACACACACACACAGTGCTGCACAAGGCCCCCCACACACACCCTCGGATACAAGCTAGGCAGAGCGCGGCATAATTAGGTCAACCCTTCTAAATATTAACACGCGCGCCAAATTTTATAAACAGGACGCTCCATGACTTGATGTCATGTGTCTAAAACGAATTAATACATCCTGGGGAAAAACGGTGCACACATGCCATGAAAACATCAAAAGAGCAAAAACGCAATCTTTATTATCTTTATTTATTATCAAAAACCCATTTTATTATCTATACGTATAATTACAGTGAATTTCATCAAGTGATTTTGAACCAATTTTCGTACAAGCACGTAAGGAAAACAAAAGTAAAATAAAATAAATAAATAAATATAAACAACTTTTAGTAAAATATTCTTTTATTTTATTGTGAGATTTTAGTCCGTGACAATGAAAGCTAAATTGAACAGCGATGATAAAGTGAACTTCAACCGTCTCATATACGCCCCGACGGACATCCATCACTTGAAATGAAGGAACACACAGACACACACACACACAGGATAAACTGGTGGAATGGTCTAGAAAATGGCTACTGAAGTTCAATTCAGGAAAGTGTAAAGTAATGAAAATAGGCGAAGGGAACAGAAGTCTGAATACAATGTACCATCTGGGAGGTGATATCCTGCAAGAGTCAAATTGACAGAAAGATCTGGGGTTTGATATCACAGCTAATCTGTCCCGAGAGGCCCATATCAAAAGGATATCATCAGCAGCATAGGCTAGACTGGACAACACATGAACTGCCTTAAGAAACTTGTGTAAGGAATCGTTTAGGACCCTGTATACCACTTATGTCAGACCAATCCTGGAGTATGCAGCTCCAGTCTGGAGTCCATACCTTGTTAAACACAAAACAAAGTTAGAGAAGATTAAGAGGTATACCACCAGACTGGTCCCGGACCTGAAAGGTATGAGCAACGAGGAAAGGCTAAGGGAGTTGAACCTCACATCCCTGGAAAACAGAAGAGTAAGGGGAGACATGATAACCACCTACAAAATTCTCATGGGAATTGACAGGGTGGACAAAGACAAACTCTTTAGCACGGGTGGAACACGAACATGGGGACACGGGTGGAAACTTAGTTCCCAAATGAGCCACAGAGGCATTAGAAAGAATTTTTTCAGCATCAGAGTAGTTAATAAATGGAATGCATAAAGTAGTGATGTGGTGGAGGCTGACTCCATACACAGTTTCAAATGTTGATATGATAGAGCCCAATAAGCTCAGGAATCTGTACACCAATTGATTGACAGTTGAGAGGCAGGACCAAAGATCCAGAGCTCAACCCCCGCAAACACAACTAGGTGAGTACACAGTGCGTGCGTGCATGTGTGTGTGTGTGTGTGTGTACTCACCTAGTTGTGCTTGCGGGGGTTGAGCTTTGGCTCTTTGGTCCCGCCACTCAACTGGTGTACAGATTCCTGAGCCTACTGGGCTCTATCATATCAACATTTGAAACTGTGTATGGAGTCAGCCTCCACCACATCACTTCTTAGTGCATTCCATACAATAGGAACTGTGTGTGGGGGGGGGGGGAGCCTGGCGGCTGAGGCGGAAGACGGAAACAAATGGGCAGTTTCTTTCACCCTGATTCACGTATTCACCTAGCAGTAAAAAGGTACCTGGGAGTTAGACAGCTGTTACGGGCTGCTTCCTAGGGATGTGTGCGGGCGCGTGTGTAAGCGAGAAATAGATGTAGTAGATATAATCGGAGGAAAAATAGATTGGGGTAGAAACGTGGGGGTCCAAGAGCTAATAGCTCGATTCTGCAGACACAAATAGCAAATGCACACACTCGCAGCAGAGTGGAGAGTGTTCTGAATCGTAGTCATAATGGCCCGGATTCGATTCCCTCTCGAGGCTTAAACAAATGGGGTTTCTTTCACTTGATGCCTCTGTTCACCTAGCAATAAATATGCACCTGGGAGTAAGACAGCTGCTACGGGTTGTATCCCAGGAATGTGTGAGAGTAAAAGAAAATGGATTGTGAGTCAATACAACAGATAACCGACGATTAGGCGGGGTCCAAGATCTAACAGCTTGATCCTGCAGGCCCAAATAGTAAATATCTTCACACACACACGGAGCAAGTACAGACATGTAGTTACAGTGATCTATAACGCCTCAAGACTCTGGCAAGAAGGCGAGAACATGAACAGTGCTGCACGATATCATCCAAGGATTGATTGAAACATTCCTTAATTTGATATTAAACCTGCTAGTACTACATGATGGGGTCTGGGAGTCCTTCTACTCCCCAAGCCCGGCCCGAGGCCAGGCTTGACTTGTAAGAGTTTGGTCCACCATGAATCGCACACCGATCTACTTGGAAACACTGTATCTTATGGAGAAAAAATAGAGACATTGTCAATGAAGCAGGCAGTAGCAGCAGTAGAAAGGAACTTCATAGCATTACAAACCAGGGAAGAAACATGGATAGAGAAGGAGAAGGTTTAGCCAACCCAAAACGTCTTCACACACATTGAAATGGACATTCAGAGAATTGAACATGAAATGCCAATTGGGGCCTGTGACTACTGAGGCTTACTCTTTAATTATGCAGTAGAACTAACGGCAGTGGAAATAAG